ACAAGTTTATCACTAAAACAAGTTTATTACTAAACAAGTTTATCACTAAAACAAGTTTATCACTAAAACAAGTTTATCACTAAAACAAGTTTATTTTAAGAACAATTTTTTCTCAAGGCCAAGTCTATTCCTGAAGCCACAAAAGAATTTTTAAAACCAAAAAAGTAATTATTCCCCCCCCCCCCGGTACATGAGGATCTTCACATGACTGTACAGAAAGTTCACATGACTGTACAGAAAGTTCACATGACTGTACAGAAAGGATCTTCACTTGACTGTACAGAAATGCGAGATGGAAAAAACACTTGCTAAAGGGTCAGCACACAACACGACACACAAAGAACTCCCCCCCCCGCCCCTCCCACTTTGCCGACCAGTCTCAAAATAGAAATATTCTCTGGTTAAAAAAAGCTACTTTCTTTTGCTTCAATGCCGGGCTAGAAATAGGGTAAAAGACATTTGTTCAAGAACCCTTGGTATAGACTTACGCTGCAGTAAATATATACATTTGTTCCTTTCTGTTTCTTTTTTTTTATCTTCTCAACACTTAAGAGATATCTTTGGAAGAAGAAATGGTAGAAGACAAATTCAGCCGTTCTCCAACAAATGTATAAGAATGTAAAATTGAAACAAGAAAGACAATGCCTAGTAAATTGTCACCATCAATCCCTATTGTAGAATGTCAGAACTTTGAAAAGAAATGAAAATTGCAAATATGTCGTAGAGTTTGCTGAGGCATGTCTATTGGTCCAAGTCTCATTCCTCTCCTTCACAAAGAGATTTCCACGTACTCTCCTTCACAAAGAGATTTCCACGTGCTCTCCTTCACAAAGAGATTTCCACGTGCTCTCCTTCACAAAGAGATTTCCACGTACTCAACAGTCTGTAGGAAGACAACATCCTGGCCAAAATACAACAGTTGGTTTTTTGCTTCTCTTGAAAAAAGTTTGACATACGACAAAGACGGACCACGGTGACAAAGAGGACCACGGTGACAAAGACGGACCACAGTGACAAAGACGGACCACGGTGACAAAGACGGACCACGGTGACAAAGACGGACCACGGTGACAAAGATGGACCACAGTGACAAAGATGGACCACGGTGACAAAGACGGACCACAGTGACAAAGACGGACCACGGTGACAAAGACGGACCACAGTGACAAAGACGGACCACGG